AGTATTTCTTAATATTGATTTCAGCAAGCAAGAAGAAGTTCAACCAAAAGTGCAAAGCAATCCAGTAAAGAATAGTCTTGGCCAAAAGTAAGAAAACTTAAATGTTCAATTTAGATAGACTATATGTTCATTTGAAAATCAGTACAAAAAAGTTTGCTCATGGCCAATAGTAATATAAGTTATATGTTCATTTTTTTATTTACTAATCAAAATTGTAAATTCAAACATATTTTTAATGAAATATCAGAAAACCCAAAGATGATTCAAGAATAACAACATTAAAGGACAAGATGCAAGAAATACATTTAGACATAGAGAGAAACCCAAAGTATGTTTAAATTTAAATAATTGAATTAATTTAATCAATTAATGAATATATTTCAAAGTTAATATCATACATTTACAGAAAGTACAAAGAATCGACAATCAGAATTATGAGAAATCTCAAAAGAATGGAAAAGGCAAGCAAGGAAATCAGGAAAGGTAAATGATCATATTTATTGAATATTTTTGTTTAATAGTCATAAATATCAATTTTAACAATACTATTACTTTTGAAGGTGAAGCAAAAAAGAAAGAAAAAGGGCCAATAGAAGAGAAAACTGTGGAAAAAGGTAAAAATTTTAAAATGTACATTTTTATTACAAAAAATGTTCATATTGGAAAAGCATAATATTAAATATTCAATAAGATTAAAAAAATTAAATTTTAACTAAATAAATTTTAATAGAAGTACAAGAAGGAAAAAAAGGGACTGAAAAAGAGAAAAGCCCTAAAGACAAAACTGTGGAAGATGTCTTTCCAAAGACAACAAATGTAGAAGGTAAAAATTTATAAATGTACATTTTTATTACATAAAATGTTCATATTGGATCTACATAATATTGAATGTTCAATAAGATTAAAAAAATATATAAATATTAACTAATTAAATTTTCATAGAAGGACAAGAGGGAAAAAAAGAGCCTGAAAAGGAGAAAATCCCTAAAGAGAAAACAGTGGAAGATGAGTCTACAAAGACAACAGATCCGAAAGGTAAATAGTGGAAAATGTACATATTCATTACCTGAAATGTTCATTTATATTGTATATAGTAAACATTTGTCATCCAATTTAATAAATGTTTATTTAATCTTTTATATTTGATCATTTCATATGCAGCACAAATTGCACCTGATTTTGTTCAACTTGAGGATGAAACTTATCTTCTAGATCAAGATGATGATAAAGTTTCCACAAAACTTAGTGAGGAGACAGCTCCATCATCACAAAAAAGTGATCAGTCAACCAAAATGAAAACAAGATACAAAATGGTTGCAAGGAAAAACAAAAACAAAAGCCTTGTTGTTGTGCCAAGTGGTAGAATTACAAGGAGCCAAGGTAATCATAATACTTTTCTGTTACACAATAAATATTACACTTTCAAATATACTAACATAAATTTTTTTAAAAACAATAGATGTTCTGTTAGATGAATCTGAAAAGGGAAGCCTGAAGAAGGATGTTGAACCTGCTAAAGAAACCGCAAAAATAGGACAGAAGAGAAGAATGTCTACAAGGAATTTTCCTATTCAAAAGGAAGCTGATGCACCACCTCCAGCACCTACTCCAATAAAAAAAATGGCAGGTGCTCCTGCTGAATATCCTCCAGACCAAGGCAAAAAGGGTAAATGTTCAATCTTAATGTATAGAATGATCATTTATGATGGTATATCATTAATGTTCAATTTCAATATATAGGTGGGAAAAAGAAAACTCTAGAAGAAGTGAAGAAAACTTCTAAGGTTGCTGGCAAAAGAAAAGCAGGTATATAATGATATATTATAAATGTTCAATTTCTATATATAGAATGATCATTTGAGAAAACAATTTTGTTCATTTTATCATTTGCTTACTGTACATTTTCAATACTTAAACAAAATTATATATTTAATTTTCAGATGTCAGTCCTGCCAAGAGAAATGCTGGAAAGAGAAAAAAAATACAAGAAGTACCATCAGATGAACCCTCTCAAGATCCTACTGATGAAAGTTCTACTGACAGTGATGATGATAGTGAAGAGTCAGTTTATAGAGCAGAAGAAGAGCCTGTCAGTGAGGATGATTATGAGGTGGAGGAAGAGGAGGAAGAGGAAGAAGTAAAGCCAAGGAAGAAACAGGCAAAGAAAGGGAATTCAGTGAAGGCAAAGGTTGAAAAGGAGGAGCAAAAGATGGTACTGTATGATGAAGGAAAGATTGAAGGTAGGAGAAAAAAGAAAATGAAAACTGAAATGGTTCAAGCAATAGAAACTGATGAAGTTGAGGAAATTCAGGAAGATGAATTTGAGGAAGAGAAATCTTCAAAGAGAGGAGGACATGTGAAGTTCATTGCATGGATAAAAAAGATGACACCTACCCAAAAACAACAAATTATTGATATAGGGTTAGGATCACTTCTTGACATTAGTTTACCTCAACTTGATCAAAAGTTCTGTAACTGGTTATTGGGAAGTTTTGAAGAAAATAGCCAGTGTTTTGAACTACCAAAGAATGAAAAAATAGAAATTGAGGTAGAGGATGTTAGGGTAGTTTATGGCTTGCCTACAGGAGAAATTCCAATTGTTGAGCCAAAGTCTGATAAAATTAGTGAGGAGTATGCAGAATTTCTGAAGAAATGGAGAAAATCATGGTCAGGAAAAACTCCATCAGTGAGTCAGGTATGATCAGTTTTAAATGTTCATTTTAAATACATTAAATGATCAAAAGTATAAATGTTTTGTTCATTTTGTTTGCAGATTGTGAATGGATACATAAATGATAAATTCACCAACAACAGACCACCAAGTGAACATTTCATTACTAACTTTTTAGCAGTGGCTGTGAACTGCTTGATGAAATGTGTATCAAACAATCAATGCCATTTCAAATTTCTTTATTCTATGATGGACAAAGAAAACATAAAAAATTTGAACTGGTGTCAGTTTGTATATGACTCACTTATCAAATGTCATGTTGATTGGAGAAAGCAGCAAGGCAAGGGGTTCTACAAAGGCCCTCTTCAATTTCTGATGGTATATTCTTAGATACAAGATGTTCATTTAAATTTAAATAAATGCACTTTTTTTTATTGTTTATGTTCTGTTCCATGTTTTCTTTTTTCTTGTAGTTGTTCTATTTTGATAGAGTTCAGAGGTTAGACAAAAGGCCTCCAAGAACAATTCCTATCATATCTGCATGGAATAGAGACATGGTTCTTGAGAGGTTGAAGATTGAATTAGAATTGGGATTTGGGAGAGGGAAAATTCTACCAAGGATTGCTGCAGAAGTTGAAGAAAGTCCTAAGGTTATAAAATGATCACTTTTGTTAACATAAATGTTCATTTGTATAATCTGAAATGTTCAACTGCATAATTTTTAATATTCATTCATATAGGTTTTTATGGATGATTTTGTTTCCCTGGTAAAAACAACTTGTTCAAACCTGTCAAAGCTTTCTTCAAAATTGGTGAAGGCAAAGGATATCTTCCCTGGAAATGACTTGGTGAAAAAAGTTGATGAAGTTTTAGGAAAGGTGGTAGCTAGGGAACCATCAATTCTAAGCCAAGATGAAGAATTCTTTGGCAGTGAGGATTTCCTAAATGCACTTGCACAAGCTGAGAAGAATCTGATGCAAGGGTCTGAAAAGCAAACAACTGAGAAGCAAATGACTGGGAAGAAATTAACCAAAAAGGGAAAGGAAAAAGAACAAGAATATGACATCAGAAAAGCTTTCAGCTTGGGGTTGACTCCACCTTCTCCAGCCATTGGTAAATTCTAACTAAAAGAGACTATATATCCTAATTTTTATATGAAAAATTCTAAATTTGTGGTCTAAATTGTCCTAAACAGAAACAGGGCCCACCTTTTCAACACTTGGTGATATAATTGAACAACCAATAATTTCAACAAATGGTAATATGTTCATATATTTAATAATAATGTACATAAACTTAAGTAGAAATGTTCATTTCTAATTATTATGTGTAAATACTATTAACTTAGTGTATCTCCAAAATGATGATTTATAATACAGCTGGAGAAAAGGATGTGGGTAAAACTTCAGCAGCTTCAGAACAAAGAATTGAAGAATTTTCTAGAACTGGTATAATGTTCAATTAAAAAGTGTAAAATGTTCATTTACAAACAAGAAATATTCATTATTAATTGTATTATTTTGTTAGACGCAGCAACTGGTTCAAAATTTGATGCTGACACTAGGTCAGATAATGAAGGATTGCCTAGAACAGGTATAATGTTCAATTATAAATACTCAAATGTTCATTTACAAAGAAATTATATTATATCTAATTAAATTTTTTCTTAGATGTAGGATCTGGTTCAGTGGTTGATGCTGACCCTAGGTCAGATGGTGGTGAAAAAAGTGATGATCCAAAAAACACAGTTGGAGGTGGAAAACAAAACAAGGAAGATGTTTTTGAAAAAACAAAAAATGATGAAAAAGTGGAGGGGTAAAATCCTGAAGACATGTCTTACTATTAGGGTTATGTAATGGTGTAGGATAAAATATCTAGATGGAACAATTTAACTTATGTTACTATCGTGTTGTAACTTGAAACTGGTGTTTCTCAAACTATTGTATGTGTGAACATTATTTTGTTGAATATGTAATATGAATGTATGGTTTATGTTAAATCAATAGGTTTATGTTAAATCAATATCTTTCATTTTATGAATTGAAAATGATTCAGGGTGTTACATAAGAAGCTTTTATTTTATTAATATGTACTGACATTGTTTCACTTTTCAGTGAAAACAAGAAGATTGTTGCTTCATCCTCAAAAGTCACAAAAAGGTACATTATTTATATTAAGTAAATGTTCAAAAATAATAATGAACATTTTCATATACCTAAATGTACATTTGTGTTATGTAATATGACCAGGAATGATGATAAGAAAAAGTCAATTGCAGAAAAGAAGAAAAAAACTGAAAAGGAAAAGGTTGAAAGGTATAATTTCAAATTTATTTATATACACTCAAATGTTCATTTATGTTCCTCATAATTTTCTTAATTTAACAATATTTTATATTGAACAACAAGACCAAAACGCGAAAAGAAAACAATTCCTCCTGCTTTCCGATCTCCTTACTTGGTCAAGTACAAGGATCTGTTTAAAGATGAGAAAGCCATGAACCAAATTGCAGTAGACTTTGCTCTTGGTGGAAAAGATGAAAGGTAATTACTTACACTAATTAAACTTAAGGTTTAATATCTTTTATAAAAATATGTTCACATTCATATTATTAAATGTTCATAATGCAGTGCACTCTTATACTATGATGGCTTGAATCTCATCAATAGAAATGAAATGAAAACTCTTGGAGATGATGTTGAAGTGACAAATTGTGTCATAGATGGATGGGCAAGGTTTCTTAATCATAAAAAGCCGAGAAACAAGATTTATTTCTCAACAGTGCTTCATGTTAGTCTTTCTTCTTTTTTTATATTATTGATTCTATTTTCCTATGATAAATAATTGCTAAAAATTCATTTAACTTCTATATGTTTGTTTGTATTTCAACAGCACATTATGTGCACAAATAGAGTTTGTCAAGAAGGATCATCAATGAAGACAAGAATTAATGCCTTCATAGAAAGAATTGACAATGAACTGAAGTTGAATAAAATTGACAGCATTGTTGGATATAAACAGGTATTAATTCTTGTTTAATACAAATGTTCAATTACCTTCAATATATTGTCCAATAACATTATATAATTTGTTCAGGTCTTCTTCCCAGTATCAACTTCTCAACATTTTTTTTCTGTTGTGCGTCAATCATATAGAAGACAAAATTCATATAATTGACAATAGAAAACTACCAAAAAAGGTATCAGTCCAAGCAAAATATGAAGAACAACCAAAAATGATGGTGAGATAATATGTTCATTTATAGTTGACTACATGATCAATTATATTTTATTAATTGTTCATGTCTTCATCACAATATTTTTTTCATTTTTAATTTTTTAACAGGCTGTAGGGTTTTGAGGCCACTGTAATAGCACAGCAAAGAGCAGGAAGGATTGTTCCATATCTAAAGAGCGACAACAACAGTAAGGATTGTAAAACATTTAGATATTCAGCAGAAAATCCCTTACATTAAACCTCACTTTTACTACATATCAACAACAACATCAAGAAATACATAAATCCCCCCTCCCCCCCCCCCCAACAACACCATACATTCACGCCCACATTCAAATTAGCTATTATACTACTTTGCTTTACTCATACCAAAGCCACATTCCAACATTTAGACCATAAGCAAAATTCACTTAAATCAGTACTCTTTTTCACATCAACAACTACAACAACAGGAAGAATTGTTCCATATCAAAACTTCTAAAAACCAATAACAACAATTCACCCCAAACATTGAGGCGAAATTCATAATAACTAGTACATTACTTTACTTTTCTCTACTCAAATTCCACAGTCGCGTAATTTAGAATACAATCAACAAATCAACAAAGTTTTACACACCAACATAATTGTGATAAAGGAAGAACACGCAAATCTTCACCGACCAATTGCAATAATCGACCTCAACAATTGCAAAATTCAAACCAATTTGTGAAAACTAGGGTTTACAACATATAATTTACCTTACGCTTTCTCTTGAAAACACCAGAATCCCACACTTCGAGCTGGGTTGAGGACTCCAATCATCAAATTCGTAAATCAGTCTCTCAGTGATAAAAATAGAGAACAGATGAAAGAGGGAGAGATGGTCTTCTCCAGCTTCAGACTTCTGATTCCTCAATGACGGGATCTTGTGATTCCTAAGTTTCAGACAAAACGGGGGGCTAAAATTCAGCGTTAACGCTCGACTAACGTCCCAGTTAATCTGCCATGTCACCAACAAACCCAATAAACAATAAAATATTGCAAGATACCTCAATAATAACGAAAATGCCATCATATTAACGTTATACGTCAATATGTCTTATTAACTAGGGGAAGCTCGATATTTTTGTGAATAATGATCTTACATCAGCTAAGCCTATTTATAATGATAGATAAAACTAGAAGCTTCCAAATTCTGTTACAACAGAATTGGATTGTTATAACAAACTTGAGCTGACGTGGCATGATTGTCAGATCAGCTATTACCAACAGTTCCTCCTTCCTTTCCAACAAAAAAAGGGGGGATTTCAAAGCAAAATTTCTTTAACAATGGAAGAATTTTACAGAAAGAAGAGTGAGAATTGCAGCAGAAGATCTTGGGAATCAACAATGGAGGTCAAGATTGATTGTAGATGAAGGTGGTGGTTGGTTTCAGGAAAAGCGAACGAGAAATAAGGGTTTTAGATAAATTCGATCAATTTTGAACAAAAAGGGTACACAGGAGAGTGAAAGAAAGGAGAAGAGAAGGATTGAACAAGGGAAAGATGATTATGGAGTGTTGTTCTTCAACGCCATTTTTGCATTTCAATTGGTAAGTTAACACCGCTAGTCTGAAGTTAACACCCATATTCCTCTATGCCGACTTTACCCTTAGTAAAGCTAGCGAAATGACGTGCATACCCTTTTATGAACACAGGTCTTTCATATGTAGCACTGTCAAAAAGGTTTGACAGTTCGGGTTCGGTTCGGTTTGAAATCGGTTCGGTATTAAATTGGGTCGATTTGAAATCAGTTTAAATGTTTTGCGGGTCGGTTTTAGTTCGGTTTAAATAGTTATCGGTTCGATTCGGTTTCAGTTTATTCTTGAACGGTTTGAATTCGGTTCGGGTTGTAACCAGTTTGGATAGTAAGCGGTTCGGTGCAGACGGGTTGCGGTTTGTTAATGGTTCGGTGTAAACGGTTTTTATCCCGGTTCAAACAGTTTTGGGTTGGGAACGGTTTCGGGTTAGAAACAGTTCGGTTCTTTTTTGGTTCAGTTTATAACAGGTTCGGTTCTTTTGCGGTTTATTTTATAACTAGTAACTTCTTTTTCGGTTCACTTTATAACTAGTTCGGTTCTTTAATGCTCAATCGGTAGTAAACATGTGTGCATAATTAAATTTCATTTAAAACACTTTTTTACTTGATTTTAATATTCTCTTTATAGTAAGCAGTTTGTAGTCGATTCGTTTATAAGCAATCCGGTTCATAAACGATTCGATTTGCAAGCGGTTTGGTTTATAAAAGGTTTGGTTTATAAACCGTTCAGTGTAAACGGGTTGCGGGTTGTTAACGGTTCGGTGTAAACGGTTTTTATCCCGGTTTAAACGGTTTCGGGTTGAAAGCGATTTTGGGTTAGAAACAGTTCAGTTCTTTTTTCGGTTCGGTTTGATTTCAGTTCGGTTTAGAACTGGTTCGGTTCATTAACGGGTTTGGTTCTTATACGGTGTAACATTATTCGGATCGGTTCGGTTTCGGGTTCATTCACATACGGTTTTGGTCGATTTTCGGTTTCAAAAAAAACGGTTTTTAATCGGTTCGGTTCTCATTTGGGTCGGTTCTCATTTGGGTCGTTTCGTTTCGGGCAGTTAAACGGTTTCGGTTTGAAATTTGACAGCACTATTCATATGGCATATGAACAAGGATTTTCTCAAAAAAAAAGGGGGGAATTTCATAGCAAAATTTCTTTTCGAGAAGGTATGTGTGAATTTTTTTTGGATGTTTAAAATTATACAATTAGCAATTAATAAGTGTATGTGTTGCTTTTTTTTTCTTTCTTAATATATATTATATATATATATATATTTATATATAGGAAAAGTGCATGTGCTTCTTAATGTACTTTTAATTAATTAATTAACTAGTTAGTAGCCAGGGTTTTGCTTAAAACTATACAATCAACAATTAACTAATGACACGACAAATTGAGGAGTTGAGTAAAGGCTATTCACTCCAGCTTAATTTAAGTTCAGCTCCAATCAGTTTAGTTAAGTTCAGCTCCTAATTTTCATCTCTCATAAAAATATTCATTTGAGCTCAATTCAGTAAATGTGAACAGACCCTAAGTGACGTGTCGAAATAAAAGGATCTACGGGGCGCATAGACGTTCTTAGAAAAAAAGGTCCAAGCTGAGGTCCCTAAAAATGGCGTGCCCTAATCCCTAGATCATCAAACCCTAGGGAGGGCACACTTCCCAAGGTCCCTATAAATAGGGACATTCCCTCATTTATTGGGACCCGTTCCAATCATTACGGATCTGTCACTAACAAGAAACAGACACCACTTGAGCTTGGAATCCGAGCAGATAACTTATTTTCCGTACGTTTTACTCCGAATCCATACTAACTTAATCTGCGGAGGCGGACCATCGACCATTCGGTGCTCCGTTTGCTTTGCAGGTACACGCGTCCTTGCTGAATCCAGTTTTTAAGTTGTAACTCTCCCGAGGGACACAAAAAAACCCCGAAACATTTGGCGCCGTCTGTAGACACCCATTTTTGTCTCCCCAAAACCAAACCCAGTGATGAATGCCTTTCACGTCGAACCATAATCGAATGAGGTGAAAGTGTGGAAGGTCAAGTGTTGCGGTTTAGTCTTATTAAAAATTCTCTTCTTTCTGTTTTTGAAAACAACTCTATTTTATTAAAAATAGTCAATCTAGTTTAGTTTGATCCATGATAAACGATATATTATAAGCCCAATTCCGATGAATATTGAGGAAGTTATGGCCAAAATACTAAACTGGGCCCGGTTCGTTATTTACATACGTCCCAATGATCTAGAGGAGGGCCCAATGTTAATTATTATTCCTGAAATTATTAGGATTAATTATAATTTTCTAGAAAACTCTAGAATGTTCTTTTAAATTCTAATAGAGTTAGGATTAATAATTATTTTAAGATGGATTTTTATTTGGAATAAAATATTATTTTATTATTATTATTATTATTATTGTTAATTATACATTTTACTTCTGTACGGATTCCGTAGATCAAATTTGGTTAAAGATCGGATTCCGCTTGGAAAGCGTGGAAAGCCAGGCTGTCGCCTGGCGACAGAGTGAATTTCTGGCGACAACGTGTAGTTTTATTCCTTATCAAGTTCTGTCAATTTTCGGACTATTTTCCTTATAAATAGGGTCCTCGACCTCCGTTTTTATTCATCAACTCTCATCAAGGCTTACTTGATACTCTTTCTCTCTCTTTCTAAACCAACCTTTTGCAAACACAATTCCGCATACACAAGATCGAGAAACACCTAGCCAAGTTTGAAGTTGCCTTCGCCCTAGACGTGCAAGGTTTAATATTTTCTGAGGGTTTGGCCCAAATCTAGTTTAAACTTTATTTAATTTGATTCTTTAATTTAATTATTTGATTTAATATTTCATTGAAGTTTACTAACGCGTGTATTTTGTTATTAGAAAGAGGTACGAGGCATCAAAGTATGTAATCTTATTGCTCTATTCTTGTAGGATGCATGTTTATTATTTATTAATTCCTAGTACATGTAAGGATGTTATTTATTGCTTTCTAGTATCATGTTCAGGGTGCCTTTTACTCTTTTCTAGTATCATGTTAGTACCATGTTAGGTCTAAAACTTTGATTTTTATTGTTTAGTGACATGCTAGGATTCGTTATTAATCTTGTTAGTATTAATGCCAAGATCTTGCTATTATTATTAGGCTTTAATTTTAATATAATGATTAACATGATTTTGATTATTATTATTATGTTGCTTGATTTATATTTTATTATTATTGCTTGATCACACCTTTTATGCATGTTTAAAGGGAATTTGTACTTGAAATCACGCTTAATAAGATAATTAATAATTTGGTTTAGGCTAATATGATTTTAATTCAAGTGATCGCCAATAATAGATTTATTTGTGCATTAATATTCAACCAACATAGATAAACAGGTTTAGGGCTAAATCTAATGTTTGTATGTTAGTCAAAAAGCGCACAT